TGTTACGGGCTGCCGGCGCGTGAAAACACCCGCTGCACTTCACACCACCCCCGAGTGCCCACGCCAAGGACACGCAAGCAAGCCCCACGCGTCCCACCTGCACCCGAAATCCCACCACCTCCTGCAGCAGCTCCAGGCCACCAGAGCAGCAGGGTCCTCCAGGAGGCTGCCACAGCGTGGTGAGAGTCCTGGCTCAGGGTGGCTCTGCCCAGGCTGTGTTTTGCTCCCCAATGCGCACCCTCGTCCCCGTGCTTCTCTGTGCTGCCCCATGGATTCACCACCCGTGTGCCACTGCAAGACACCAGGCACCCCGACAGCCCTTCCCAGCTGGCGTTTGCAGCTCAGCCTCCCCCAGGACGAGCGATTCAACAGGAGGAACTCGGCCTGAAGGACCCCACTGCTCCCGCGGAGGAGGAATTTCGCTAGAGAGACACAACCGAGGTAGCAACCCCAGCTGGTGGCAGCCCTCAATGCACAGGAAGCCGCAGCTGAGCTGCATTGCAAAGAACTGACTCATGCAGCCCTCCCTGCTGCCTCGCATCGGGTACAATGGCACAGCCTGAACAGAACAAGCACAACGCAGGGGCTCGGTGTGCCCGTCTCTCCCGCAGCCGCCACGCTGAACGCAGGATGGAGGCGTGCTGGGCAAGGCTCAACCTGCAAAGCCTGAGAGGTCTGTGGCTGGGGACAGCCACCACTGTCCCCTGGCTGCCCAGGGACTGTCCCACGCACCAAGGTGTGGGAGAGGTGAGCTGTTCCCTGCTGGTATCGGGTGGTGATTCACCTGCCGGGCTGAGCAGAGGGCAGCAATCTCCTCCCTGCTCTCCACCCCAACCAGTTTCTGCCTCCGGTGCGTACTGGTTGCACTGGGGTCATTTCTCTGCCACATTTCCTCACTGCCACCAGCCCCAGCTGCTTCCTGGAGCGCTCCTGCTTGAAGCTTCAGACCAGCAAGGTGCTGCTGCCCATCGTTTCCATCACTGTCCTGGAAGTAAAGCTGAGATCTTGCTGCTAACGTCTGCAGCTGACACAAGAGGCTGGCAGAGCCGGAGCGACAGCAGCCGGGTCCAGCACAGCCCGATCCAACCCTCTTATTTAATACAAGTGGCCAAGAGTTATAACGAGGAACGAGCAATGCAGGCTGCTCCTGCCAAAAGTGAGCTTGGTGTTTGGAGAAGAAATACACAGGAGCCACAGCAAGCGAGCCCTGGCATCCCCAGTGAGCAGCGGGGCAAGGCGCTGCCAGGAGCCCCTGGAGCTGGTGCTCAGCCCCTGCTGGGGGTGAGCAGCACCCAGCCCTTGAGCCCCACCTCACACTCGCTTGCACGTGGGTTTAATGAGGGTGACAAACAGCCCCTGCCTGCTTGCATTTGCCTTTGGGAGCGCAGGCATGTGCACAGAGCCGTGCAGAACCTAAAGGGTGTGGGGGAACAGGGCTTGGGCAATTTGTGCCCTGCTCCTGCTGCCTCCTCCCGCACAGTCCCGTCCCTCTCCCTGCCTACCCAGCAGAATTAATCCCTTGCCCTGGCACTGGATTGCCTGGATCCCACAGGGATGTGGTGATGGAGGTGTCCCCTTGCCACAGTGCCTCCCTCTCGTCCTCCCTGCCTGGGGGCTTTCCAAGAGCCAGAAGCCACCAGAGCCCCCTGTGCTGGCAACAGGGTGCACGGGGACAGCCCCGCTTCTGGGGTGCTGGGAGTGGGGCAGGACCCTGAGAAGGCAAAACAGGGTCATGAGTCCAGAGCTTCATCACTTCTGGACACCAAAGGGCCCGGGTACACGTTCTGCTCCTTCGCCCACTGCTCCTCGCCCAGCACAAAGCACGCAGAAAGGCTGTGGAAAAGACCAGAAATGCAAAGTCAAGGCTTCCGAGCCTCCTTCCTCTGCTTAGGGAATAGGAACGCCGGGGTTGGAGCGAGCTGCTCCTGCCTGACCCCGGAGCACACACAGCAGTGGGGACGTCCCCTCTGATGTCCCCCCTCCCAGCCCACAGGGATGTGCGGGGCCCTGCTATTTCCATCCGCTGCGTGTGCGTGAGTCACTCGTTTGTCTCTCTTTGATATTAAACCATGCCAGCACCAAGGGGGGGGGGGAGCAAGCAGCAGCAAAGGATTTAAAATAAAGCTCTCCCTGCAGGCTGGAGGAGGGGCAGGACGCAGCCCACAGACCCCCTCCAGCCCAGCCCCAGCCCTGCCAACCTCCTTTCTCCAGGCAGCACCGTCCCCAACACTGCTCCAGTCCCCTCCCAAAGGGACGGCCGGGGTGGGGGACCCCCACTTGGCAAGAGCTGGCTCTGCCCCCGCGTCCGAGCATGCCCCAAGCAGCATTTCTACATTTTCTATGCCAACAAGGAGATTTTCCCCATGCACCTCATCCCCCTGCGAAATGCTGGCGGCAGGGAGGCTGTGAGCAAAGCCACACGTTGGCACCCATGCATGCGTGGGCGTGTGTGTGTGTGTGTGCCACCCTCCTGCCTGCAAGTGTGAATTTGCAGGTGCAACATCCCTGGGGATGCACACAGACACTGTGTGTGCGATGGCAGCACCAGGCCCTGCCAGCCCCAGCTCTGGCTGGACCCGAGGGGTGCAGGTCCCCCTCCTCCTCCTCCTCCCAGCTCCTTCCCCCAGGTACAGTTTTGGTGACCCCAGAGAAAAGCGTCACCTCCAGCATCTTTCCTGCTCCCCTTTAGGTAGTTTTTTGCCCAAATCCCACAGCCTCGCGCTGTGCAACAGGTCATGGACCAGTTCAGGACTGGATCTAGGTGTCCCCCAAGGGGTTCCCTGTGAGGCACGGTGGGGCGAGGAGAGCAGGAGGTGGTGGGACCTGGGCTCTGTGCCCACCTCCCTTGCTGTGCCAGGAGCAGAGCCAAGCCCTCATGGTTGGATCAATGCAGCGATGCAGGACTGCAGCAAGCAGCTCTCTGCACTGGGAGCCCCCCAAAAAAACCAACAGTGCCAGTGTGGGGCCAGGCATGAGGCAGCTCCATGCGTGGCCCCCACGCTCAGTGCACGACTGGCCGGCATTCCTGGGGATGGGAGCAGTGAGCTCGGGGCATGCCCACAGCCCCGGTAACCAGCCTGCATCCTGCAGCACCCCCACGACACTCCTAATCGCCCTAATCCTTTGAAACAAAATATTAATCCCGCCGAGCTCGGCAAAGCAGCGCAGGGTGGCTGCGCCGTGCGATGGCTGAGCGGTGCTTCTAATCCGGCACAAAACGCTCTAATCCCGGCCCAAGTCCCCCTGCCCCCCCCCCCCGCCAGCACATCTGCAACTGATCAGTGCCGTGGGGCAGTGCTGTGGGGCTGGGACCCCCAGGTGGGAGGGGCGTCCCCATGCTGCAAGTGGGGTATAGGGTCTGGGGGCATCGGAGCAGCCGTGGCTCGTGGCCAGGGTCACGCTGGGCTCCTGCCCGCCCCATCGATTGCCTTCAGCAATATTTAAAGCTCCCGTTTAATTTCAAATGGAGAGGAGTGCCTTCCACTCAGCCGCCTGGCTGCGAAGCACTTCCAGGTCTGCAGGGCTACGACGCAGGCACCGCGGGGAGGATGCGGAGCCGGGGGCCAAGGGGCCTGGACCCAACTCCCCGGATGAGGCTGCTCGGAGCAGGGCGTGAGCGCAGTGCCGGAGCCTGCAGAGCCTGGGGTGGCCGAGCCACGCATGTCTGGCTGCCTGCCCGCGGGGCCATTTCAGTGCACGGGCAGGCTCTGTGAGCCGGAATTGCCTCCTGCTCCCCACCAGCCGGGAGGAAACGAGTCCTCTGGGGGCTTCGCGCCCTCCTCTTGCAATGCTTGTCAGGGTCATCGCAGCACCAGGGGGCTGCAGCCCCCCAGCAGCGCCCACGTCTCCCCAGGGCTCGGTGGCTGGTCCCAAAGCCCTGCGTCCTGTGCAGCGAGAGGTGTCTGCTGTCACTTTGGGGGCCCAGTCCCTACCCATCTGCAGGAGGAATTTGCATCGCCCAAGCTGGAATGAGGCAAGAAGTGCTCCCCAGGGAGCAGTCCTCGCACCCCGCTCCGTAATTCGCTCCGACCAACGTGATTCAGCCCCTGTTCGTGTAAATCTGTTCCCCTAATAGCCTCCGAAGCCCGTGGATGCAGTTAAAATACCGGCTGAAATATTTATTGAGTCAATTTTCAACTAACATAAACTCTGTGCTTACTAAGTGAAAAAAATAATAATAATAAAAAATAAAAAAACCACTCTCCTTTTCCGTGAGAAACGCGAGCAGAGCTCCGCAGCCGGCTGCCCCACGGCTGCCCCACACCAGGGGCCGTGGGGCGATGCGGCAGCAGGGGGGTGCCGTGCCCCCCGCCTTGTGCCCGGCTGCATCTGCTCCTCGCACAAGGCAGCTTTGTTCCCCGCCCTGGCTTTCGGACCCCGGCGCTGCAAACCCCGTGCCGTGCATCCTGCTGCGGCTGCTGGCTGCGCCCAGGATCCGTCCCTGCGCTGGAGCCTTTGTCTCCGGTGGAGGGGAGATTTGCAATGGAAATGGAGTGGTTGCTATTTGAATATCCCCAGCAAAAGAGCCATTAGCGCTAATAACAGCTTTCAGCTCGGTGCAGAGGGCACTCCCCAGCCGCAGCACTTTGCAGCCCCGTTTCCCAGCACCAGCACCTTCCCGCAGTGCTGCCCCACATCCCTGCCCCATGGCCACGTCCTGGCGGTGGCTGCAGGCAGGTGGCACTGCCCCTGTCCCCTCCGCCTTCTGTCCCCTTGGGAAGGTGCCCGTGGGGCTCCGGGTCGTGTGGCCCACCCTGCACCGGGTCCCCTGGGCACGGAGGGTGGGATGAGCTGAGTGGAGGGACCCCCACCGGGACCCCCACCTGCTCCATGAGACCCACAGAGCCGGGGACATCGTTCCCCCAGTGCCAGGGGGTGGCAGAGGAGCGGGTGGGGAGGTTTCCAGGTGAGAACCAGGAGCCTGGAGCTGAGCTTTTGGATCAGGGCAGGGAGCGGACGGGGCCGCGTGCGCTGCGGGCGTGCAGCGTGCAGGGCCGGGGTATTTTTATCCCATGCTTGATGGATCGGTGCACGGCTTCACTGCTGCCAGATGATTTTCCACCGGTTCCATCACATAGCAATTTAAGGTTAGTCCTGACTGCCAGAATGAGTCAAAAGCTTTTAAAAAGCCTATAAAACGGGCATCTATCTCGCCCTGGTTTTATTCTGCTGCTTTGTTTATCGCTGAGGTCACCGGCTCGTGCCTCGGGGAGGGATCCGGGTCGTGGGTGGTGGTGGCGTGTGGCGAGGGGACGCTCCCGGCTGGGTCGTGCCGGGGCTGGGGCACCTCTGCCGTGGGTGCTCGTGGCACTGGCTGCATGCCCAGGGACAGGGGCCCTGCTTTTGGAGAGCAGCGATGCTGAAAGGTTGTGAGCCGCAGAGAGCTGCAGGAGCTGGGGTTGGAGGCAGGGAGAGGAGGCTAGGAAGGGTGTAAGGGAGCAGGAGGCTTGGCTGGAGGATGCTGGAGATGCTCTGCCCTTGGGTTTTGGGAGGTGCAGGGTGGTTTTTTTCTCCCCCAAAGCAGCTCTGTGTCTGCTGTCAGGTCGGGTGCTGGTGGGATGCCCCCCGGGGGCACCCTGAGGGTGCACGGTGGCTCGGGGGTGCTCACTGTGCTCCACACACCTTCAGGCAGTGGTTTAGGCTCAGCGTGGCCAGAAAACAGCCTGCAGTCCTGTGCCAGCCCTCCCTCTCTCCGTTTCCTCCTTCCAGGTATAATCCCACAGGTTTCCCAGTGCAGCATCTCTGTAACTGCCCTCATGCAGCCCCAGACTTCATCCTCTGCCTCCCTCTTACTGGCGGGGCCACAGCATCCCCCGACATGGCACATACCCGGCTCTGTCCCCCTGCTGCCAGCATTTTGGGGAGGAAACAGCAGCTCCAAGCCTGGTTCATGCAGAGAGGCCAGGCTATATATAAGTGCATGGGCGAGCGCACACACCCATCCGGGCTTGGCTGTGCCCGTGCCAAGCCAGGCTGGGGTTTGGGAGCTATTTTTAAGGCAGCTGATTTGGGGATCTGGCCGGCGGAGAGGATCATGCAGGGTCAGTGCCACTTAACGGGAGCAGAGTGCGGTCTGGGGAGGGGATGGAGCAGGCTGAGGGGCAGGATCCGCACCCCTGGCATTGCTGAGGTTTGCAGGGGATCCCAGCTTGCTGCTGCCGAAATCCAGCCCAGCCCTGGTCCCGCTGTGACCCCTGCAAGGGGGGCACAGCACCTGCACACTGCCTCCCGCAGCACCCAAACCCTCCGCAGGCTGCACACAAAATGCTTGCGAGCCCCTACCCCCTCCTTGAGCGTGTGAGCGGCCCCAAGGGAAAAATGCATGAGAAATCACCAGCCCTCAGTCACTTGCAAAAGCAAATCTGCACAAGATTGCCTCAAAAAAGCACCGAAGCTTGAAAAACCTCTGGGGAGAGGGTGGCGGAGCGGGGCAGGGTGCTGGTGCCTGCTGGGTGCGAGCAGGGGGCTCCCCAATTCCTGCAGCCCAGGGAAGGAATGGGCAATGGGATGCTGGAGCATCCAGACCACAATTTTGGGTAAAGAATAGGGGTAATCAGTCATGCAGGATGACCTCCAAGCTCCAGGAAAGGATAGGGGCAGCCCGGTACCCCTGAGGTTTGGGGCTGAGCACTGCCCGGGTCCCCCCGGATCCTCGCAGTGCCCGAGTGGCAGCGAGCCCCGGGAGCTGTGAGCGGCGCCGTGTCCACCCATTTGTCTGTAATTAAAAGTTGTGTGTAGAGATTTCCTGTGACACGTCCCGCGAGTCCAGCTGCAGACACGGCGCCGCCGAAACCAGGAGATGCTAATGAGTGCTTGTGCATATTAAATACCTTGTTTACACGCAGACAACAGCCGGTGTAGCTGGGGGAGGCAGAGGAGGTGGCTGCGATCTTCACGCCTGCTTCCTGCCCCTGCAGCCTTCTGCTGAGCCGGCGTTTGGCCGGCAACCGGCTGCTGGGATGGCCCAGGGCTGCTGGCAGTGCTGCCGCTGCCCCAGCTCGCCCCGTGTTTCGGATCCATCCCTTGTCATCGTCTTTTTCTCAGTGGCAGGTGGCTGAGGCAGGGTGCTCCGCAGGGCTGGATTTGGGGCAACGAGGGGGCAGGGGGCTCAGCACGGCCCCATCTGCAGGGACCGCTGCAGAGATGGGCAGCAGGGTGCTGGGGTCCCAGAGGGGTGGGAGATTTGCTTGCTCCCACCACCCTGAAACCTCATCTTTGGCTCTGCCACCTTCAGGAGCACACCTCGCCGCCCCACACGTGCCCACACACGTGCTGCTCTCCGTCCTTGCCCGGAGTTATCCCAGACCCTGCAGGAAACGTCCCGGGAGGACGGCCCGGGCTGAGTGATGGATGTGAGCACCGTGGAAGTGTTTCTTCCTCCAGTTTCCTCCAGGGACAGGTGAGCACCAGTGCCGGGAGCTGCAGACCTGGCACCGATGCTGCCTGCAGGGGAAAGCTGAGCCTGGTGTCCTTAGGGACAGGAGCCCAGGGATGGGACTGCAGGTCCCAATTCCCCAGGCACCTCCAGGGCTGGTGCCTGCCCTCGTTCCCAGTAATCCCTGGAGCAACTCCTCGGAGTGTGGTCCCCTGACACGAGCAAGCGAAGCGGGGGCAAAGCACACTAAGGGTGCAGCCGATGCCTCCGGGGGAGGGAGATGCAGGAGCAGCAGGGCTGTGGGGCTGGGATAACACGTGGGGGCTGCGGAGGCATCCCCGTTGCTCTCCATGGCACTTCCACCCCACAGACAGGCCCCGTTACCTCCCATCACTGCTTCCCCCGTGTGTCTGACACCTGGCAGGGGCTTGCATCCTCACCCACTCCCCTGTGAGCTTTTCCCCTCCTCCTGCAGGCACACACCGCTATAAATGCCCCCCACGAAGCTCCCTAGGGTGTCACCGAGCCCACAGGGCAGCGAGGAGCCAAGTGCCACCCAGTGCTCACCCAGATGCCGGTGTGATGCCTTCCCCTGGCACCCCCTGCAATGGTCCCACCAGGGGGACCCCCCAGCCTGCCCCCCCGGCCGTGCCCCCCAGCCCCCAGCCCACCCAGGCCTCGCTTTGTGCCGAGTTGCCACTCGCGAGCGCTTTAAATGTTAATGACGACGTTTCAGATTTGTAGTGGAAACTAATTAAAATTGTTATTGTTAGCGGGTTTGAATTGCCCAGGTGTGAATCATTATCCTCATTAAAATAATCAGGGAGACGGGGATGTGACAGGAGAGCAGATGGATGAGAAGCAGCCGGAGCCAGCGCCCCGGGTGGCCGGGGAGCCCTGGTGCCCATGGGGAGCGGGGGGACCCCTGCCCGGGGGGCACCAGCACCCAGGAGCTGTGAGCAGGGCACTGTGGGACATGCGGGTGTCCGTCCCTCCCACCAAAAGTCCCCTTCCCAACAGGCAATAGCACTGCTCACCCCCAGTTATGGGATGGAGAGGCTGGGAGAGGGCCTGCCCCAATGAGTGGTGGCACAGCCCCGTGTCCTGAGCGTGTCCCCAAGCACGGACCAGGCTGTGGCTGGTTCTCCCGGATGGACCTGCCCCACTGCAGGATGGTGTCTGTGCCCCCCACGTGTGGGGCAGAGCCATGGAAGCACCACCACACTGGTGTAGTGATGGAGCCTGGGGACGTGACAGTCCCCTGGGTGGTGGCACCATTGTGGGATCACCAGCACCGCTCCATCCCAGCCCCAGGAGAGGAGCGGGCGCTGGGTGCCCTGCCCATGCTGCCGGCCGTGGGAAGCAGCGGGGGGCTCCTCGCCCAGCCCCGCTGGAGCCAGCCGGGGCCGCCGTGCGCCCCGGGGGCTGATCCTGCCCCGGGTGGACCCGCGCCGCGCAGCTGCCCGGTCCCCGCCGCCCGTCTGCGGGGAACAAGGGCCCCTTTCTGAGGGATGAATGGGCTCAGTGTGCGTGGCCCCCCTTCTCCCTCCCCAGCAGACCCCCAGCCCTGGGGCGGATGGCCGGGGTCAGCGTGCCCTGCGGCGGGGCAGCTATTTGGGGAAAGAGCTCGGCCGATGCTCAAGGTCGCCTTTGTGGCCTGCGCCCCGGGGCAGGGGCTCCCCAGGGGACGGCGGTGACACCAAAGGGAGGAGTGATGGCACGCAGCCAGCGCGGGGGCCTCTGTCACCCCTTGTTCCCTCCAGCCGTGCAGAGATGCTCGTGGTGGTCCCAGCAGAACAGCAGCACTGGGGGCTGCTGGTGGCCACTGGCCACGGGCGGCTGTGGGGACGCGCTGGCCAGGTGGCACTCAAGGCTCATTTGTCCGATGATGTTTTCATCTATTGACAAATCTATTATTGATGATCCACTCTCCTGCACTTGGCAGAGCACTGTCCATGCTCCGATCGTATCCATCAAGCAAAGCTCTGCCGGGCTCTGTCATCGCTGCTGAATTAATTATCCCCAGATTGTTTTTTCATAAATATTTGACAAGCACTAACAATGCGAGGCGTGAAGCCCCCTGGTACTTCTGTGGCTCCAAATTGCCCCTAAACGTGGTGGTCACCGCCCACCCTGCTCCCATTGGGGGCCCTCTGTTCCTCCCAGGGCACAAAGGAGGTGTGAACGGGACACAGCACCCAGACCCACCTCATCCGTGCATCAAAAGCAACCCAAAACAACAAGGACAGCAAACTGTCCCCACAGGGAAGGACAGGAGCTGGGTGGGAAGGGGATGCCCTGTGGGTGCCCCTGGAAAAGTGCTGGGGAACGGGCTGGGGGCAGGAGGGTGAAGCTGCAGGTGGGGCACGGGGCAGGGAGGGGCAGCCCCAATCTGGCGCTAGGAGTTATCAGACAATTAAAGATGTGATAAATTTAGCCATTGGAACAGGAAATTGGCAATAATGCAGAAATGAGAGGAAGCAGTTGAGCTAACTGCTGGGCACTCTACAAAATTGGCTATAAAAAAGAAGGACTGCCATAAATATAAGGGCAGCCCGGAGAGGACACTGCTGGTAATGAAACCCCCACTCCCGATGCGGGAAGCGGGGAGACGCGGAGCTGGGGGCTCCTGGATCTCAGCTCTTGGCTCCTCAGGGCGCACAGCCCGGCGGTGGTGATGGAAAGCCAGAAGCAGAGTGCAGGGCGAGCTCA